AAGAAAATGACATGAAGGCTATGTTAACCAGTTTGATGGAAGTGTTTCGGATTCTATGTGAAAACCCCACACTGTACCCCAGAAGTGCATTAATGTACATTCAATTAAAAAAAATAAAAAATAAAATAAAAAACAGGCTCAGCACCTGTAGCTCAGCATCTAGGGCGCGGGCCACATGCACCCAGGGCTGGCAGGTTCTACCCCAGCTGCTAAACAACAATGACAACTACAACAACAACAAAAAAAAACTGGGCATTGGGAGGCACCTGTGGCTCAGTGAGTAGGGCGCCGGTCCTATATACCAAGGGTGGTGGGTTCAAACCCAGCCCCGGCCCAACTGCAACAAAAAATAGCCGGGCATTGTGGTAGGCACCTGTGGTCCCAGCTACTCAGGAGGCTGAGGCAGGAGAATTGCTTAAGCCCAGGAGTTGAAGGTTGCTGTGACCTGTGACGCCATGGCACTCCACTGAGGGAGACAAAGTGAGACTCTGTCTTAAATAAATAAACAAAACAAAAACCTATGTGTCTGACTGTTCTGAGTTCAATGAATGTCTACAATTACAATGAAGATTTGTGGAAATGGTTCAAACTCAGAAAAGTCAAGATCACTAACATATGAGAAATAGTGTCCCTACTAACGTCAATATTTTACAGGCATTAACAAGAGCTGTGCTTACCTACTGTAATTATTGACAAATAAATGTGAAGATAAATGACTAAATGGCGCTCATATTACTTTGGAGGGCAGGTATTCCACAATCAAAAATTATTTACTGGGCAGCACCTGTGGCTCAAAGGAGTATGGCGCCAGCCCCATATGCCGGAGGTGGTGGGTTCAAACCCCGCTCCGGCCAAAAACTGCAAAAAAAAAAAAAATTATTTACTTCACGTCATCTAAGTTTCAAAGGCTGTGCTAGATATTATTAATAATCTATTTTTATGATCCTTAATAGCTGTGATGTCAAGTCAAATTATAGGGCAAATAAACTTAGAAATGTCCAGAGACCTATGCCATCGTGGCCTTTGCTGATCCCCTTCTGAAAATAACCAAGAGCACTTGGATTCACCACCATCAGCTTGTTAACATCATAATAAAAAATATCAATTTTGGCTCGGCACCTATAGCTCAGCGACTACAGCACCAGCCACATACACGGGAGCTGGCAGGTTCAAATCCAGCCCAGGCCTGCCAAACAACAATGACAACTACAACCAAAAAATAGCCGGCCATCATGGTGGGCGCCTGTAGTCCCAGTTCCTTGGGAGGCTGAGACAAGAGCATTGCTTAAGCCCAAGAATTTGAGGTTGCTGTGAGCTGTAACACCACAGCACTCTACCAAGGGTGATATAACAAAACTCTGTCTCAAAAAAAAAATTAGTATCATAACTTGTGTCAATGCCTCATTTTTTTCTTTTTTTAGAGACAGAGTCTCACTTTGTCACCCTCAGTAGAGTGCCATGGCATCATAGCTCACAGCAACCTCCAGCTCTTGGGCTTAGGCAATTCTCTTGCCTTAGCCTCCCAAGTAGCTGGGACTATAGGCGCCAGCCACAGCGTCCAGCTTTTTTTTGTTGTTATTGCAGTTTGGCTGGGGCCAGGTTCGAACCTGCCACCCTCAGTCTATGGGGCCGACGCCCTACTCACTGAGCCACAAGTGCCCCCCAATACCTCATTAATGATACTAGAAAGACTGGCACATATTTTATGTTGTACATGCCTATAAACAAGGTAGTAAGCAACAGTTCAAATAAAAAATGGCCAAGAGAATGTTATATTATTATCATTCATTTCTAATATTTCTACTATACTCCACATTTAAATATGTGACATGATCACAGATTTTAAAGAATAAGTTTTCTCTATCTGCAAAGCACACAAACCTTCCCAACGAACTCACATTTCAGAGAATAAACATACACGTAAAATGCAAAAAGTACTTTTATGCTTATTAGTGTCATAACTCTAGTAGATTAGAAGGTTTGAGAAAGGGAGAGATTTATCTTTAAAGAATTTAGAGACTCGCTTCTAAGAATAGGAACACACAAAAAATGTGCTGGTTATGGGTCTGTTCATCTGCAAAAATTTAGTAAGCTGTAGCTTTCATATGTGTGCTTATTCTCTTATTTGGTAAAGTCTTAAAAAATTTAATGACACTAATGGCAGCATGGGACTAAGTACAGGATGAAAATAGTAACAATTGAGAGTTCAAAGGAGATATTAGTCACTGTTAATAGTACCAGTTCTAACAGTTAACATGTATTAAGCAATCTCTATATGCCAGCACTGCGCTAAATAAGCATTTTATATTTCATCCTCACAACATCCCTGCATCTCAACATTGTATCAGTAGCCATTTGCCACATTAATTAGTTCCTCCTTAAACTCCTTCCTTTCCATTCCAGGCCAACACATTCTCCTGGTTTTCTTCTTATCTCACTAGCTGCTGCTTCTCAGTCTACCTTTCTCCCCAGACTTAAAACTGAAATAATACTCCAGGGCTTAGCTTCTGGTCATCTTCTCTATCTATACTCTTTGGACCAGATACTACTATTATTATTACCATTATACAGATGAAAACATTAAGGCACAGAGAGATTCAAACCTAGGCAATCAGGACATTATACACCAGGCCGGGCACATTGGCTCACGCCTGTAGTCCCAGCACTCTGGGAGGCCGAGGTGGGTGGATTGCCTGAGCTTACAGGTTTAAGACCTGCCTGAGCCAGAGCAAGACTCCATCTCTAAAAAATAGCTGGGTGTTATGGTGGAAGTCTGTAGTTCCAGCTACTTGGGAGGCTAAAGCAAGAGGATCACTTGAACCCACGAGTTTGAGGTTCCTGTGAGCTAAGACGCGGCACTCTACCAAGAGTGACCAAGTAAGACTTTGTCTCAAAAAAAAAAAAAAAAAAAAAGATGTTAGGGCGGTGCCTGTAGCTCAAAAGGGTAGGGCGCCAGCCCCATATGCCAGAGGTGGCGGGTTCAATCCCAGTCCTGGCCAAAAAAGAAGAAAAACAGACGTTATACACTATGCTCTTAACCTCCTCACCACTCTGCCTTCTTTAGCCTTTCATTCAAGAGACTGGACATAGTTAAAAACATTCCATTCTAGTGCCTTCAGTGACTGAAAAAAGAATCAAGAGTGAGGCACATTACATGGGACTCTGGTTCATAAGATATTAAAGACTAATACCAGGCACCAAGCCAGCAGGAAACGAATCTCTTGCAAATTCTATTAAAGAACTTTCCCTCCTAAGTTTCTTCACTATGTACTTTGGTAATAACTTTTCAAGGAGGAATGTAAGAACATTCTAAAACACAGATTCTCAAATCTACATGCTCATGAAATAATCGGGGGGAGGGGTTAAACCTATAAATGTGTCCTATGCAGACCTATTAAATTAAACCTAGAAGATTCCAGGTATCTGTTTTCGAAGGAACACTCAAGCAAATTCTGAAGCTATTAACTTGGTAGCTGAATTTGTTCTCGAGAGGGTTTTCTAGGTCCTCAGAGTCTAAATAATGACTATCACATATTTAACTGGCTAGCAGAAGCTGGAAATGAAATGAGAATAGAGATGTAAACTGATTCTAACAAGTAATGAGACCAATCAGGAAACCAGACCAGCAACTGGAATTCTAGCTCAGGACATAAAACATTTCCAGGTAATGTGGGAATTTGTTGCCACAAGAGAGTATGCAGTCAAGTGTTGCCATCCTTTGGCTTAGGAGGGAGTCATCCAGGCAGCAAAAGCCAATTTAACACTTGAGTACTTCATATTCTCAGAATACTCACCAAATGTTACGAATATAATGATATTAACAGATATTCCCAGTACTCCCATGCCAACAGAAGAAATCAATATTATTACCATTTTCACATAAACATAAATGCACATACATTTTGTTTACATATGCAAGCAACACTTACTATGGAAATATGAATTCTGAAACTAAGGCAAAACAAGTCATTTCAACACACTTTTTTTGGCTTTATTTGTTTTGAGAAAGAGTCTCACTTTTTGCCCTTGGTAGAGTGCCATCGCATCATAGCTCGCAGTAACCTTAAACTCTTGGGCTCAAGTGATCCTCTTGCTTCAGCCTCCCTAGAAGCTGGGATTACAGGTGCTCACCACAATGTGCAGCTATTTTTGAGACAGGGTCTCACTCTTGCTCAGGCTGGTCTCGAACTCCTGAACTCAAATGATCCACCTACCTTGGCTTCCCAGAATGCTAGGATTCTAGCATGAGCCACCACATAGGACTTCAACACACTTTTTGAAATCTTACCTCTGTAAGTGCATGCAACTGTCCTTGATGAACACATACACCCATGAACCTAAAATATAAAACAGATTTTTATTTAACAAATGAACACAAACACAAACATTATATGTAGTAACTAGTTTAGTTACCTATGCATTAGAAACAGTCCAGTACCTGTGAAGCTCCTATGGGTTCCTGTATCATCTTAATCATGATTAGGGTGCCAGGCTGACAAATTTCTAAATTTACCAATAACTCATTGTAGCAAGACTTAGTGGTAAAAAGCAATAGAGGAAGAGGGAGGATAGAAAGCCTTAAAAACAACATGATGTAATGGAAAAAACTCCAAATGGAAGTAAATTTGATGCTGGTTTCAGCTCTGCCACTATCTGACTATATGCTCACCACCCCCCTTCAAAGAAAAGGAAAAAGAAAAGTTACTAACTCTGTTTGTAACTCAGTTTCCCCATCTACAAAGTAAGTAGATTGGACTA